CAATAACACCTGTAACACCAAACCAATAACACTGTAAGACCAGACCAATAACACCTGTAACACCAACCCAATAACAACTGTAACACCAGACCAATAACACCTGTAACACCAGACCAATAACACCTGTAACCTCAACCCAATAACACCAGTAACCTCAACCCAATAACACCTGTAACACCAGACCAATAACACTGTAACACCAAACCAATAACACCTGTAATACCAAACCAATAACACCTGTAACAACAAACCAATAACACTGTAACACCAGACCAATAACACCTGTAACACCAGACCAATAACACCTGTAACACCAGACCAATAACACCTGTAACACCAGACCAATAACACTGTAACACCAAACCAAAACACCTGTAACACCAGACCAATAACACTGTAACACCAGACCAATAACACCTGTAACACCAGACCAATAACACCTGTAACACCAGACCAATAACACTGTAACACCAGACCAATAACACCTGTAACACCAGACCAATAACACCTGTAACACCAGACCAATAACACTGTAACACCAAACCAATAACACCTGTAACACCAGACCAATAACACTGTAACACCAGACCAATAACACCTGTAACACCAGACCAATAACACCTGTAACACCAGACCAATAACACTGTAACACCAAACCAATAACACCTGTAACACCAGACCAATAACACCTGTAACACCAGACCAATAACACTGTAACACCAAACCAATAACACCTGTAACACCAGACCAATAACACCTGTAACACCAAACCAATAACACCTGTAACACCAAACCAATAACACTGTAACACCAGACCAATAACACCTGTAACACCAGACCAATAACACCTGTAATTGAAAAGGGTCTACATCTGTGTCTTCGGTCTGAAAATGCAATATATCAACAACAAATAGATTAAAGCTCTTAAACCGTCAAAACCAGCAACATAAACTGGTCTGAGCCAATAGACTTTGATAGTTGACTAGTTCAACAAATTCCTGGTCTAAAATGGCCTGAATAGTTGCCCAGTGGTCTACACTGGACTAAAGTGGTCTGATCTTGTCATGATGTAACTGGACTGGTGTCTTAGTGGTCGACTGAAACAGAATGTTGTCCAATCAGGAGAAAGTGGAGTTACAGTTTAGGTCTGCAAACACAACAAGACTTCTGAGAGAGAGAGAGAGAGAGAGAGGGAGAGAGAGAGAGAAAGTGTGTGTGTGTGTGTGTGTGTGTGTGTGTGTGTGTGTGTGTGTGTCCATTAGCTGTACTGATGTAGCTAAAGATAGTAGAAGCTATTTCTGATCCAACATATCCATCTCCCTTTCTCTGTAGAAAATGGACGAATATTAGACGAAGAAACTGAAGAAATAAAGAGCGAACCAGGTTTAAAGCACAGGGAAATTTTGCACCAAACCAGGGCTAAAGCACAGGCAACATTAGGACCAAACCAGGGCTAAAGCACAGGCAACATTAGGACCAAACCAGGGCTAAAGCACAGGCAACATTAGGACCAAACAAGGGCTAAAGCACAGGCAACATTAGGACCAAACCAGGGCTAAAGCACAGGCAACATTAGGACCAAACCAGGGCTAAAGCACAGGCAACATTAGGACCAAACCAGGGCTAAAGCACAGGCAACATTAGGACCAAACAAGGGCTAAAGCAAAGGCAACACTTTGTCCAAACCAGGGCTTAGGCACAGGGAACGTTTGGACCAAACCACAGCAAAAGCACAGGAAACACTGCACCAAACCAGGGTTATAGCACAGGTATAGTGTGCACCAAACCAGGGCTATAGCACAGGTATAGTGTGCACCAAACCAGGGCTATAGCACAGGTATAGTGTGGACCAAACCAGGGCTATAGCACAGGTATAGTGTGCACCAAACCAGGGCTATAGCACAGGTATAGTGTGGACCAAACCAGGGCTATAGCACAGGTATAGTGTGGACCAAACCAGGGCTATAGCACAGGTATAGTGTGGACCAAACCAGGGCTATAGCACAGGTATAGTGTGCACCAAACCAGGGCTATAGCACAGGTATAGTCTGGACCAAATCAGGGCTAAATCACAGCTACAGCGTGGACCAAATCAGGGCTAAATCAAAGGTATAGTCTGGACCAAATCAGGGCTAAATCACAGGAATAGTCTGGACCAAATCAGGGCTAAATCACAGGTACAGCGTGGACCAAATCAGGGCTAAATCACAGGTATAGTCTGGACCAAATCAGGGCTAAATCACAGGTATAGTCTGGACCAAATCAGGGCTAAATCACAGGGAAAGTGTAGAACAAACCAGGGCTTAAGCAGGGGGAAACACTGGACCAAACCAGCTCTTTTAAATGGGATAATTAATTAAACCAGAGCTAAAACACCAAATCCAAATCTGGTCCAAATCAAAGACTGATAAGAAGGACATATTTCACTAAAACAAGAGCTCAACATTCAGTTAATATGGAACCAGATCGGACATGATGAAACTGATAAAAAACTAAATCACACACTAATATTGAACCCAATCAAAGACAACAAAAGACCAACAGGTGCTAATTAACAAGTATAAATTATTTCAAACTGCTGTAAAATAACTATTCTTATTGGATCCGGATCAAACCAAAGATATAAATCCAGAAATACTGAAACCAACTCGGGGCGAAAAAAAATGAATTGCTACTAACATTAACAAGTGGACCGACTTAAGGCCAAAGAACTAGTACATATTAGACTTGACCAGGGCTAAAACTTTTGTTAGCACTGTTAGCATGTTGCCAACCTTGCCTCTTAAGCTAGCATCAAGCTAACTAGCTTCAAGGTGATGCATTATAATACGTCAGCCAACAGGCAGCTGAGATATTTCCAGCTGATGGTTCAGCGTCATTATCTCCTTTATACTGTAACATTTGGGGAGCTCTTCACCTGATGGAGAGGACACCTGGTGATCACAGTGACAGAGCACTTTCACACAACATGACACACCTGTTGCACCGTCATTCAAACCAATAAATACACAACAATTATTGACTGTTCCATCGAAGCTCCTCTGTCATGTTTCAGGTTTCAACATGTGTGAACTGAACATCTCAGTCCTGATAACAGCTACCCACAGAAGCTAGCTTGAGCTAACATACATGCAAATGTGGCCCCGCTAACCACAGAGCCACACACACACACACGTACACACACGTACACACACACATGAAGAGAGAGAGAGAGAGAGAGAGAGAGATGAATGAAAACATGACTGAAGCAGCAAAACACAGATAAACATGAAAACTGGCTTTGATGGTTTATGAGGACACACTCACACACACATGTTTTATGAGGACATGTGTGTGTATCGTCTGTGTGTGTGTGTGTGTGTGTTTGTTGTAGCGGTGCATGCGGGCGGTCTGCTCTTACCTTGGTGGTGACAATGCAGAGGCAGTCCATATCCACACACACACACACTCACACACACTCACACACACACATTTTCACACACACTCACACACTCATGCTCGATCTCTCTCTCTCTCTTTGTCGCCCTCCCCCCCTCTCTCTCTCTCTCCTTGTCTGTCTGTCTGTCCTCGCTCGCCCGCTCGCTCTTTTCTGCTCTTCCTGCGTCTGTCAGCACTGAGCGAGCGAGAGAGAGCGAGAGAGAGAGAGGGGGTGAGCAAGACAGATGAAGAGTGGTGTGTGGTTTTTTTTTGAGGGGGGGGGCGGGGGTGTACACCTCCTTGAGTCACTCGAAAAGAAGACGGAAGAGGGAGAGAGATAGAGAGAGAGGGAGAGAGAGAGAGAGGGAGAGAGAGAGAGAGAGGGGAGGTGGGGGTTGGGCTCCTGTTGCCATGGTGTTATGCAGCTGTTGCCCCGGTAATGCTGCTGCAGCTGTTGCTAAGTAACAGGGATGGGTGTTGCCATGTGAATGAAAGAGATAAAGAGAGAGAGAGAGAAGAGAGAGAGAGAGAGAGAGAGAGAGAGAGAGAGAGAGAGAGTGTGTGTGTTCATACCTGTCCAGGTGTGTGTGGTCGGCTCGTCGTCTGGTTCTCACACACTGTCAGCTCGTAGAACTCCTGTATGTCTACACACACACACACACACACACACACACACACACACACACACACACACACACACACACACACACACACACAGTTAGAATTTGCACTCACAAGCTTTGTTTTTATTACATCACTCTCTACAAACACAGCATCCCAAACATTCACAAACACAGGAACTTTACCTCACACAGGAGTTCCTGTTCTGCTGCTGCATCAATCTGTTAGTTTGTTTGTGTCATTGTGTGAGTTTGACGTTTTAAATCGTTAATTTGGATCCATCAAAATATGTTTACACAAACAAATTGATAAAGTGAGGCAGCGGTGAATAAGAAACTCCGGAGGTAAAATTGCTGTTTTTGTCAATTGAGTCTGATCTTATAGTGACATCCAATGTTTACCATTAAAGGTGACATATTCTCCTCCTCCTCTTCTTCTTCTTCTTCAGTGTAAATAAGTCTCAGAGCTCCTCAAAACATGTGTGTGAAGTTTCTTGTTCTAAATCCACTCTGATCCTGTATTTGATCATGTCTATAAACCCCTCTATTTCAGCCCTGCTCAGAACAGGCTGTTTCTGTGTCTGTACCTTTAAATATGTAAATGAGCTGTGTCTGACCAGGATAATATGTGACCTTTAATTAGTGTTTATTTAGTTTTCATTTTCTTCTTCTGCTCCATGACAATGAACAGATCTACTATGCGCTCTGATCCTGGATTCATTGTGTCATGTGAACCCATGTTTGCATAAAATAAAAACTTCAAACTTCTATATAAGTATACATTCAATATATGTTTGATAATGTATAGTTTATATACGTATACATAAAGGGGTTAAAGTTCTTAGTAATAATCTAACCCTTATATCAGCTGATTATCTCTCTACTGATTGAACCGTCGGAGCTTTAATGACCTTTGACCCCACAGCTCAGAGTCAGGTCTTAACTGTAATCATTTGTTGTGTTTTGTTTGGAGACGTGTCCTCATCAAAGCTTCTGCTCTCCCCTTCCATTCGAAATCAAACGCACACCTGTGAACCTGCTGCTGTGTTTAGCCAATCAGAGCGCAACGAGCCCACAACGGATCAGCTAAAGTGTTAATGAGACGCTCGCTCGCACACACACACACACACACACACACACACACACACACACACACACACACACACACACACACACACACACACACACACACACACACACACACACACACACACACACACACACACACACACACACACACACACACACACACACTCAGGACTAATCCCGACATGCAGGGAGAGGTCCTGTCCAATCACTGAGCTGTGATGTCACAGAGATGTGATTAAACAATGCAGAGAAGAAACTTTGGTTTTGAGCACGGTCTGGTGTAGACTGTGTTAATCTGTTCACAAGAAGTATCTGTCCAATCAGGAGCAATCGGCTTTGTAAACAGGAAGTCACTGTAGCATCAGAGGCTAGCATAGCATCCCAACATGACAGATTTGAACAGGTTCATCTTGTTCTGAGTGTTTCACACTGTACTGTTAATTCAGTTTATAATAAAAACAAAATATGTCATTATGCTAAGCTAACTGATCTTATCAGCCAAACATTAAGGTCATTATAGTGCACTAAGTTGTTTTAGTGATATAATTAAAAATCGAGCAAAGTTTCAGCTCAGAACTCTTTACTGCACTCCACGTTCACTCTTTAGCAACTGAGATATTAGCATGCTAGTGTTAGCATTGTTATGTTGCTGGTCAGACAGGGTGAAAACAAATTATGCTAGCCATTATTAGCTTCTGTAGGTCTGATAATGCTACATTCTTCCGCTACCACTGAAGTTACTAGACTGGTGCAGGGATAATGTATTTTTGTGGCTAACCCGGCTGTTAGCATCCCTCGACTAAAAGCCTCTGGGGTTGTTTCCTATGGATTATTTGGCTCTGTAGCGAACAAACATTTGTCGGTTAGTCACCTAATGCCAATGGTCAAAGCAGTTATTAATTTAATCTTTCTCTCTTTAATTACATAATATTTATACAATGAGATATAATATTATATTCATGTATGTATATTATCTTTACAATTTCAGTTCTGGTTTCAGTTCATTTATGTATCATTGTTGTTAGAGTGTGTGTGTGTGTGTGTGTGTGTGTGTGTGTTACCCAGCAGGGCCTGGAACAGGTCACTCTGGAAGATGTTGAGCAGTTTCTCGGCGCGACCTTTGACCCCTTCTTCAGCTCCGGCCTGACAGGCCTCCATCACCTGCAGAGCACGTTCAGTATCTACGACACACACAGAGCACGCTCAGAATCTATGATACCATCTTATACGAAGGGTTAAATGCTCCCCTAACTGTGCTGCAGAGCAAACATGCATGTAGCAGGGCAGTTAGCTCTGATGCTAACATGACACCTTTTGTTCAGCCTGCGTATGTTAAATTCTGTCTCACTACGAGTGTTTTGTTCATGGTCTGTGTTTATGGTTTACTAAAGAGAGTTTTTCTGTGTGTTCATTTAGACACACACTGTGTTTGAATGAACATGAGAGAGCCCTGCTGCTTGAATTTAGACTGAGCTTTATTCTGTTTTTATTGTCATCTGTTCCCGACCAAAATAAGCCTCCACACATCGACATGACTTTTACCCCCAATCCCCACAAACTCTGTGCGCCACGGTCCGTCAGTGCCTCTGCCCCACTGGATCCATTTCTGGAGCCTGAGTGCAGCGGAGAGCAGCCATGATCAGCTGTACACACATAACAGGAGACCCACAAGATCACATGAGAATTACAAGATCACATGAGAACTACAAGATCACATGAGAACTACAAGATCACAAAAGAACTACAAGATCACAGGAGAACTACAAGATCACAGAGAACTACAAGATCACAGGAGAACTACAAGATCACAGGAGAACTACAAGATCACAGGAGAGAACTACAAGATCACAAGAGAACTACAAGATCACAGGAGAACTACAAGATCACAGAGAACTACAAGATCACAGAGAACTACAAGATCACAAGAGAACTACAAGATCACAAGAGAACTACAAGATCACAGGAGAACTACAAGATCACAGAGAACTACAAGATCACAGGAGAACAACAAGATCACAGAGAACTACAAGATCACAGGAGAACTGCAAGATCACAAGAGAACTGCTAGATCACAGGAGAGAACTACAAGATCAGAGGAGAACTACAAGATCACAAGAGAACTACAAGATCACAGGAGAACTACAAGATCACAGGAGAACTACAAGATCACAGGAGAACTACAAGATCACAGGAGAACTACAAGATCACAGGAGAACTACAAGATCACAGGAGAACTACAAGATCACAGGAGAACTACAAGATCACAGGAGAACTACAAGATCACAGGAGAACTACAAGATCAGAGGAGAACTACAAGATCACAAGAGAACTACAAGATCACAGGAGAACTACAAGATCACAGGAGAACTACAAGATCACAGGAGAACTACAAGATCACAGGAGAACTACAAGATCACAAGAGAACTACAAGATCACAGGAGAACTACAAGATCACAGAGAACTACAAGATCAGAGGAGAACTACAAGATCACAAGAGAACTACAATATCACAGGAGAACTACAAGATCACAGAGAACTACAAGATCACAGGAGAACTACAAGATCACAGAGAACTACAAGATCACAAGAGAACTACAAGATCACAGAGAACTACAAGATCACAAGAGAACTACAAGATCACAGAGAACTACATGATCAGAGGAGAACTACAAGATCACAGGAGAACTACAACATCACAAGAGAACTACAAGATCAGAGATGAACTACAAGATCACAAGAGAACTACAAGATCACAGGAGAACTACAAGATCACAGGAGAACTACAAGATCACAGGAGAACTACAAGATCACAGATGAACTACAAGATCACAAGAGAACTACACGATCAGAGGAGAACTACAAGATCACAGAGAACTACAAGATCACAGGAGAACCACAAGATCACAAGAGAACTACAAGATCAGAGGAGAACTACAAGATCAGAGGAGAACAACAAGATCACAGGAGAACTACAAGATCACAGAGAACTACAAGATCACAGAGAACTACAAGATCACAAGAGAACTACAAGATCACAGAAGAACTACAAGATCACAGAGAACTACAAGATCACAGGAGAACTACAAGATCACAGGAGAACTACAATATCACAGAGAACTACAAGATCACAGGAGAACTACAATATCACAGGAGAACTACAAGATCACCTGGGAATAAAGAGAACAACATGCAAACAACATAGCTTTGTCTTTCTGAGGATGATTTGTTGTTCATTCAGTTCCTGTTTTGACGTCATGTTGATAAAGGGATGAAATATACGAACGTGAGTCTGTATGTTGTATTTTATTTTGGAATTGACCGGACGCTCTGTGCGTTTCCTTGTCTGACTTCGTAGGGATATCTGATATGGTAGTTTCATAGTGAAGATTCTGTAATGTTTCATGGATTGATTGCAGTCCTACACACCTGTCTAATAAATGTAGTTTTTTAAAGCTTCAGTACTTTTGATACTTTTAATGATTGAAACAAATTATATCGTTTTAAAACATCCAAACATATGACAACCTTCCTATTTATAGTAGTAGTAGTAGTAGTAGTAGTAATGTGTGTGTTAAGAGTACAGGTGACTTGATGCGTGAGCCTTACGCCTCATAAACAAACAAAGTCTAAGAACTACAAACAAACAAACACACACACACAAACACACACACATAGCTGTTTCCTGTTTAAGAGGCAGCGGTGACATCACTCAGAGTAAATATTATAAACATGATGATGATAAAGATTAGAGAAGAGTAAAAAGGAAAGGGGAGGATTAGTGAAAGCACACAAACACAATACAACAAACACAAACTTCTATACACACTTAGTCATTAACACACACGCAGGTTAAGAGTGTGTGAAACAGGTAACGATAATAAAACAACGTCTCACCTTCTCTCTTCAGCGGCATGTCGTCTCTCTGATCCACATAAATCCTCTTTAGGGATTTTACAAACACACACGGGGCATGCTGGGTAATGAAGTCCTAATCCTTCACTCTCATCAGCCCTCTGGCACACAGAGAGTCACACGCTGAAGCCCCGCCCTCTCCTGTGTTCAGATTGGGCCATGCTGACAGTCACAGTTTGATTGACAGCTGTAAACAGACACTGTTAGTGTTTAGGTTTAGGTCATCACAGCATACATCTGATTATGAAAATTAACTTTACATGAACTTGTTTTATATTATATATTAATATCTTTGTGTTAATTATAACTGTAGCATCTGTTTACATTAGAGGTACTGTGGCTGTAAATTAGCACTGTTGCTAACTCTGGCATGTTTTACAACCTGAGGTGCTCTATCCCTTTAAATAAATAAATTAAGGGGCGCTGGTGGCGCAGTGGTTAGTGCGAGGCTGTAGTCATCAACGCGGGCGGCCCGGGCTCGAGTCCGGCCTGTGGCTCCTTTCCCGCATGTCATTCCCCACTCTCTGTCTCCCTGATTTCCGACTCTGTCCACTGTCCTGTCTCTCAATTAAAAGCACAAAAAGCCAAAAAGAAATCTTAATAAATAAATAAATAAATAATTCTGTGGGGTGTATTTTACGTTTGACATATCATGACCACTTTGTTTGCGCTTCGTCTTTGTGCATATAAAGGTAACTTTATGATTGTAAAATGTTGTTGTCATGTAAGCTAAGCTAACTAGCTGCATGGTACAGCTTCAAGTTGGTGTAGGGTTGTCAGGATACCCAAATTTAAAACTTTGATATAAGACACCTGGAAAAGTCTAACAATAGTGAACCGCGCCGATCTGTCAATCAGGTTAGCCTTGTGCCTATATGCATAACTCGTATCGTTCATAAAACTGGATGCAGTATAAAATAATTCAGCCCCCGTACAGTGTGTACCCATGATGACAATTACTAATCACACCTGTTTGGTTTTTTTGAACCAGGCTGTAAACATGTTCATCTCTGCTGTAAAAACAGGCTTTTTAGAATGGGTGTGTATGTGACTTCCTGTGCTTCTGCAGCCAGCCTCTAGTGGACACTCCAGGAACTGCAGTTTGTTGCACTTCTGAGTTGGCTTCATCTTTCAACATCAACATGTTGCTGCTCGATTGAGACTTGAAGCAACTCGTGTAGGTGATTTGAACTCTGATAATGAAGTTTGGTTTGTTTGTTGGATTAATGAGCAAACTAGCTAACATTCAGTACCATCACAGCATTAACTCTTCAGTCAGAGGAAAACAAACAGAACAGATAACCTACTTACTGGGATGGATTATTTAAGTGGGTGTTAGATTCCCTCAGTCTTGACTCTCAGGCTCCCTTTTCACTTTAAATTCTAAACATGTTTATGTTTGCGGACAATCTCGGATGTTTGCTAACCTATGAATTTAACACGAGAAAAAAATTAAGTATGTGGTGTGTAGAGCTTGTTGCTGGAGAACATTAGCAGCGAGGGAGAAGTAGGTGTTCCTTGCAAACCGTACGCAGGGCGAATTAACAAATGACTTTCTGGTAAACGGTTGATTTTAGCCTGTCTGTGTGGCTTTACCTGATCAAAGATAGCTCGTTTCGGTTGTAAACGTTATTAACCGGATTAACAGTGTGATTTTGCGCGGACAGCTGCTACGTTAACCTCGATTAATCGTTAAATTTGACCAAATAGTCGTTAATTTTCAGACGTGTTTGTTTTTTCAGTCAGGCGCCGATTAGGGCACCTCTCTCCTCGGGTATTCTCCCGCCTCTCCCACTTCTGACCAATCAAAACCAGTGCTCGGGCAGCGCGCGTATATGATTGGTCCTAGCACTAGAGAGGCTTGAGCTCAGAGCGGCGCCTGATTGGAGCGTTGTCTAGTCGCTCACGTGGCCCCTCTGGTGGAGTATAAAAGCGCGGGCTGGGCAGTGGGACACGACGTGAAGACTCCAACAGCTATCAGCTAGTGACGGCTAAATGCTAACAGTGTAGTCCCGACTCTTCCGCGGGCTTGCTTTCACGCACAGTGCGCGTTTTCGGGGATGTTTTGCGGGTTTGTTTTTTGTTTTTAGGGGGCGTGTGTTAGCCACATGTTAGCCACTATCTGCACGTTAGCCGGATGTGGCTAGCTTTAGAAGCTAAGTGTTTACCAGTTAGTGTCCTGAATTATTCATGAGCTCCTTCCGTGATTGGTGGATACAGAGTCGGAGGCGGGGCTAGTGAGGGTGTCTGCAAGAAGGGAAATAACACACACACATACAGAGGTCTATTTATGTGTGGATAATATTAGAAACGACACACTGAGGAGGAGGAGGAGTGTGTTCTTGGTGAGTAGAGATTATTATTATGACAGTTTGTCAAACTGAACTGAGATTGAATCAAAGTTTGGATCATTTTCAGTCAGTTTTTAATCAGAAGTTGCTCAGAGAGAAAGCAGCAGTGTTAATGTTACTGTCTCATTAAGATGCAAAGTTACTTTTATGTTTCTTAACTTTCTTGTGTTTCGGAATGATCATGAAAAAATAAATGGCACATCTGTTATAGAATAGAATAATATAGAATAATATAGAATAATATAGAATAATATAGAATCACTTTATTGATCCCAAACTGGGAAATTGTGTCGTTACAGCAGCAGGTTGTCCAACACACAGTATGAGTAAAAAACACAATGTTAGCAAATTTAAACACAATATAATATTAAATACAAAGTAAATAAGTACTAAAAATATCAAAACTAAGAATGAGAATATATACAACCAGGATTTAACTAAACATTACTAGACTTAAATATGAAAGATTAAATGTAAATGTGCAAAAACAGAGTCGTAAATTCTTTATTTTTGGGCTTTTGTGCCTTTAATGGAGAGATGGGACAGTGGGTAGAGGTGGAAATCAGAGAGAGAATTGACATGTGGGAAAGGAGCCACAGGCTGGATTCGAACCCGGGCCTCCCCGGACTACAGCCTCCATGCATGGGACGTGCGCACTATCCACTGCGCCACTGTGCCACCAGCGCCCCGTTTGTAAATGAAATATGAAAGATTAAATGTAAATGTGTAAAAACAGAGTAGTAAATGGACAGTGTTGACATCAGTTAAAGTGAAGGAGTGTAGACATATGAGCAGAAACTATTCAATATAAAGGAGAGTAGACAGATGAAGTGAAGAGGAGTGCAGGGATCATTTGTAAATGTAACATGTGCAGAACAGATTACAGTGTGGAGAGACAGATATGATCATGATGACAGTTCTCTGCTCACATGAGGTGAGCTGTTGTACAGAGTTATGGACTTCAGTAAGAAAGATTTCTTGTATCTGTCCTTGTGACAGCGGAGTTGTATCAGTCTGTTGGAGAAGCTGCTCCGCTGTTTGTCCAGTAGGGTGTGCAGAGGGTGATCAGGATTATCCATAATGGATAACAGTTTGTTCAGAGTCCTCCTCTCTGTCACCACTACAAAAGAGTCCAGCTTGCAGCCTATCACAGAGCAGGCCTTCTTAATGAGTGTGTCCAGTCTCTTAGTAGTTTACTAAGAGTTTACGAGACAGGTGTGTAGAAGAAGAGCGAGTTACCAGACTGAAACTCCTGCTCAACGTGTCCAAACCTAAATGCTGCCAAGACATTTGTGCAATTCACACAGCGCGCTCTCTCTTAGGGTTAAAAGTATGAAGTGTTTTCTGTAAATGCTGACGTACTAAGTAGAGTTTGTGTTTCCTGTGTTGACAAACCAAGGGACACTAAAGAGCTTCCACACGTGCTGCGAAAAACTCTGAAACTCGTTTTTTCCGATGCGTCTGACACTACATGAACGCAGCAGTAGTCCTGTCAGTCAAACTAACTCCTCCCCTCTCTGTGATTGGCTGCTAGGTCTTCAGGTGGAAGATGATCAAGATGTCACTGGACAGCGAGACTGTCCTCCCTAACGAGGTGAGCCCCGCCTTCCCCGCCACCGGCAGCCTGTCAGAGCAGCCAAAACTGGCGAAGACCGGCGCCCTCTGTTCAAACAACGGACTTCATCCGCCGGGAAACAGTCAGCACGCCATCACATCCTCCGCTCCCCACACCCAGCGGATCGCAAAGAGGCGATACTCGATGGGCGTCGGCTTCAAAGGGCTGGCCAAGCGGCGGCGTCGCGCCAACAGTGAAAGCCAATCGGAGCCTGTGCTGCCCAGTAACTTCCTGTTGGGAGGAAATATCTTTGACCCGCTGAACCTCAACTCGCTGTTGGACGAAGACGTCAACAAGTGAGGCGTAAAACAGTTCTTTGATTCATTTTAGTTTTATATGTAGGATATTTTATCAGCTGAGTGTGAAGTCAGGATGAATTTTGAAATCAGATAATTAAGCTCCTCCTCTTCTCCTCCTCAGGGCGACCAATCAGGAGACACCCAAGTGCTCACCCTTGCCTCTGCGGGGAGAAGACCCTGTAGAGATCCTGGTTCCCCGTGACATCACCGACCCCTGAACCTGAAGGAGGGGGCAGGGGCGGGAAGGAGGGGGGAGGAGTTCTGCTGTCCCCGCTGAAGACGAGAGGAGACACAGGAACAGACACCACGGAGGGGGAGGAGCCGGAGGAGAGAGGGAGGTCGTACCTGCCCGACTGTTCCCCTCCGCTGCAGGACTGACAGGTGAGAGACGAACACCTGGAGCTCTACTG